ACATTAAAAGTGGAATTTGATCTAGTAAAGCAGAACCACCAGATATTTGATTTTCTTGGAGCCATGGCACTGAAGGCCAACTTGCACCTTAGGGTGTAGGTTTGGACTGACATTGAAAGCAGTCTTACATGGGAAATTGGGAGTGTGACTTTCTTGCCTCCCCCTTCCCACAGTAGCCCAGGATCATCATTCTGAGGGACATTTTGGGCTGCAGTGGGAGGTGAGAAAGTTGCAACAGGAATTGTTTCATCTAATTCAAGCCAGTGCTGGTGCTAAGAAAAGCAGTTCTTGCGTTAGTGCACGTCTAAGTATGTTTTGTGGGCACAAGGGGTGATAAGAACTGTTCTCATCCCTCCAGTGCTCCTATGGTACTAAAATGTACAATGGTCTCTAAAACTTTGGTTGCTCAGTATATTCAAATCAGCAGACCCGTGCAAATTCACACTCAGTGTGGGTTCTATGTTCTAGAAAGAGCAAAAGCAAATGTATAGTGGCCAGATTTGTGATCTGTTTAAAAGGCGGTAGGCAGGCATGATCAAAAGTTCAGTGGAAGTGGTGGGCTCTTAATTAGAATGATCTGATTTTTTTTTAAATGTCCTTACTCCTGAATATTAAATATTACGTTTTATAGTAACCGTGCTGTGTGACCATCTCAGGTTTTACTACAGGATGTCATAATATGCAGACATTGGGCTGTGGGCCCCAGGAACTTTAACTGCTGTATGAAAGCTCGTCAGTCCCTTCTGTGCTGGAATGAAAAACTCTGGGTAGCTTCTGGGCTTTGACTGTTGTGCAGCTGTGAAGCATGATGAGAAAATGATTGCCACAGACTGAGTGTGCATCTGAACACGCCACATGTGAGAGCTAATGGGTTTGTGGCTATTACAGTAAGCAATGTATGCAAGAGACAGGTTTCCTAGTCTAATTGTATCTTGGAGGAAGCAGTCCATAGAATATACCTCCTCTGGATGGTTTTTGAGCTATTGTGAACTAACAGGTCGAAATGGTCCCGAGCATTGGAATGATTGTCTTTTACTTTGCAACTTGATGATGCTGTGTCTGGAGGCAACAGAGCCTTTTAGGATGTAGCACAAGTTCACAACCACTTTCTGCAGTAGTGATTAGGCCATGGGTTAAATGGCTGTCCTGTTCCCCTCTCATATAATCTACTTAAGAGATATCCCATCACCCATGCTTTCAAGCCATTTCTAAATAGTTTCAGCCTTGCTAGCCTTTTACGTTATAGACTGCTGGCTTGATTTAGGAGAAATGGGAAGCTGTAACCTGTGCTTGGGTCCCCACGGGAGGCAGGGCTTCGGAATCCTCCCCTTCTGTCCTCCTACAGAGTTTTGTGTGTCATTCACCTGCCCAACGTCATCTCGGTCAGCTCATGTGCCATGGTTTAAAATTGCCAGACACGGATTCCTTCACTCCATCACGGCGTGGGGTGTTTCCAAGCCACAGTAAACAGACAGTCTCATTAGGGACTTTGCACTAATGGTCAGGAGAGCAAAGCTGGCTCATTTGGGTGTGCTGTGCTTGGGTAGCTGCCACCATGTTTACATGCCTTGAACCACTGAGGTTCAGAGTTGCCAACCACTGTTACCAAATCGAGTATGATTTTTGACTGGCTGTACAATTGCAAAAAAAAAAATCTGATTCTGGCCTTTGCTTTTGCAAAGAAATTGGGAAAGTATGACTGAATGCTAAAAAGAATTACAGGAAACAAAGCAAGATTCTTTGAGCAGGGTGTGGTGGAGCAGGGACTGAAGCTGTCATGGGTCTCAGGATGGTCATTTGAAATGAGGGGTTAAATTGCTTTTAATTTAAGATGATGCAATTAAAGACTGGGTTGGGAATGCCCAGCACTCAAAGCCAAGTACCCTCTCTGGGTCAGATAGTATACAGATTTTGTAAGGGGGGGGGTATAGTTTTTGTGTGGGGGTGTAGTTTTAAAAACAGGTCCGTTTGCTTCAGCAGAGGCAACAGTGGGGTAAACAAGTGTGTACATGCAGTGGGTGACAATGCTTCTTGCCATCACATAACATGCAATACCTGGAAAACTATGATCAGTCTTTAAGGCTAAGCAGTTGGGGTGCGGGAGATTTGGCCTGGGGCCACATCACTCCTCTGTACCAGTTTCCTGATCTCAATCACCCCTCCCTGGAGCTGTATGAGGGAAAACATATGGGTGTGTTTATATAGGTTTTGCTCTGTGGGGCAAGCAGCAACTCTAGCAAAGAGCAGGGGGAAGTGCAAGGGGAAATAACCCCACTCAGAGCTTTGACCCAAAGACCCTTTCCTCCCGCTCCCTCTCTCACACGGGAGTTTCTTGCATCACATGCAGTTGGCCCTCAAGTTGGTTTTTAAGATAGCTTAGAGATACAATAATGCCTTTTAATTTTTTTCTCCTTTAACTGGTGACTCTGTACAAGAAGTAGCCCCATTTTAATTCCAAGTCCTTATAAAAACATTTTCATCCAAGTACTGCTATGTGGGTATGTTTATTCCTGCAGCGTAAAATGGCGGGTCTTCTATGTTAAGAGCCCTGTCCACTGAAGATTTGAGCATGCATTTAAAAGAACAGTGCAAAGTCATTAGGGAGATGAATGACACTAAGAAGATATGTAAAAATGGGGCAATCATCCCCAGCATTTTCAGCTAAAGTGTACAGCAGCTTTACCTGTCCAATATTCTTCCAGAACTGAGAGGGGAAGTCAAGAGTCACCTCTGGGCTTCAACTGCAGGAGGCATACGGCTGAAAGGCTTGGGAGGGGGTTTCAAATGAATTCCACAGAAACTAAGAAGAGCAGGAATCTTAGCTCCAAAACATCCTCTTTATTGTACCAAGAAAAGGAAATGCATTATAAACAAGTATGTTGAAATATACAGCTTAAGTTACTAGTCTTATTAACAAAATAAAGCTCTATCTATATGTACAGACATTTTAAAAAGAACAACATCAGCCACTTGCCAGAACATACTGGTGGTGGGGGGGGGAACGATGAGAACAAACAAGCCTATTTTTAAAAGGGGGAGGGGCAAAACTGATCCTTTCCTTTGATGCTTCTCCTCATGCAAGAAATGGTCTCCCCATAAGTCTGTTGCAACAACCGCTGTGATATTGCCTGCCCTGCCTTCTTCACTCCGATGAAGTTGTCTCAGAGTCCGGGCAGATAAGATGCAGGGAGTTCCACATACGGAATTTTCAGCAGGGCTATTTTTTAAAAAAAACAGCTGTTCACAGGACCTATTCAGATCAGGACTGTGACACACAGGTTTAAGTTTTCCCCATAGTATTCTCCCAACCCTAAACTTCTACATGGGGCTCCTATGTACTGCACTGAGGCAAATATACATTTCTGCCAGTGCACAGAGTGACTTTGAGCAGAAGGTACATCAGGGGGACAGCTACCCACACACACATAGGCCACAATCCATATCTGAAATGGAGCCCTGCACGCCAGCTATTTCCAAAGGAACTGACTGTGGAACTCCCAGCATTTTGTCTTGATCTCAGTATACGTGAGAGTTGGGGAAGGAAGAGTTACCAGAAAGCTACAAAGAAAACCAGTCAGTGGGTGCTAAAGTGGCCAAAGGAGGTGATGAGGGCAAGAAAGTCAAAATGTGGAAGAGTTGTGGTGTTAGTCTTTTGTCACTTTCAAAGACTAGCATATTTCTTCAGGAATATGTATTTTTAAGCAAGCATCCACTTTGTGGAGCACAAGGGCAAGTGCTTTGCTTGTTGGAGGCAGGAGGAGATCTCCATACTGTGCTCCTTCCAAGTAGCAACTTGGTTTTTGATTGTTTTTAAATGTAGGGAGAACTGAAATTTTGGTCCCTGGAATGGTTCATATGGCACTAAATGGAGGTTTATATAAGTGTTGTCCAAAGAGGGTTTGGCAGGGCTTTTTTCCCCAGGGGAACCCACTGGAATGAAGTTCCAGTACCTCTTCAACAAAAATCTTTAAAAATATTTAAAAGTTCATGAGTTTTCAGTATACAGATCAAAAACTTCATTTCCCTCTTGAGAGTTCTGGCACCTCTTTTTTCCAAAAAGAAAGAGCCCTGGGGTTTGGGGTTGCTTTTGCGATGGCTTGCAAATGACCTAGAAAGTTTTTTTCTTAAATTAATTATTTTCAATTGAAAAACGAGATGTTGCATCAGCACCTCTGTCCCACCTTCCAATTGGTAATGCAAGTCAAGAAACCTGTTCTATCATTTGTCATCTTGATGTAATTCCACCATCTGCCAGCAGATGGTACAATATTTCCATATAGAGACATCTAAGCCTACCAGTGCGGAGCAGTTGTCTAGGATATTGTCAAAGAACAATTTAAATGTTAAGAGGGCCACCTAGATGTGACTATGCTATCAGAGACACAGGCTTAAATCAAATGGAGCATTTCTGCAGACAGAAGTATTTCTATCCACAGAGCATGACTTTCTTGCATCCCCCTCCCACAGTAGCCCCAAAGGCCCCTCAAATGCTGCTCGGGGACAACAGGTCAATAGGAACACCCTTTCAGGGTGCAGTGGGAGTCAGGAAGCAAGTAAGTGATACTCCATGGGCAGAAATCCTTCCGTCTATGAAAATGCTCCCCAAAGTATGGGGAGGGATAGTATTGAATGCAAACAAGCATGCACAGACATAGTTATAAGGCTTATAAGTACTTTTGAAAAGCCATGACCTTCGACATGACCCAGCCCCAGCCAGGACCCCTCTTTACATCTTCTCACATGTTACCATTCAGCTGACTTAAGCTGCCCCCACAAAATTACAGTTGCTTCGACAGCCCAGAAGGGGACTGACTGCAAGGGGAGAAATGCTTGAGACACGGAGGGACACAAGACAAGCCATCGCAGTACATCATCCATCCAGTGCAGGAGGATTTGTGTATGGTAAACAATCAATGGACTTGCACAAGGAACAGCTAAAGATGTCTTGGGCTGGGCACGGAAGGGGGAGAATGAATTCTCTTTGATGCCAGAGAGTCTCAACACCAGTTCGCATGACCAGTGGCATAACCAGAACACCCCAGTAGGCATCTCCACCCAAGAGAACTCTCAGCTTCTCACCTAGAGGTCCCTTAAGACTCTAAGCCAGCTTTCTGCTGCTGCAGGGTGCCCCCCTCTTGCTTCGTACACTGAGAACTGGCAAGCAAACAAGTGCAGGAGGGAAATGGGTAGTGGCGTAATTTACAAACCGGGCCTGAGCTGCCAAGGGTATAGAGGGCCCCTCTGAGACCTCCGTTGTTATTCATTGAAGTCCAGAGCTAAAAATGGCTCCATGGGAATTTACTGGCAGGGCCAGTGGGAGTAGAAAGAAACAAACACAGGACGAAGTGAAGGGGGGGGGGGAGAGAGAGAGGCAGAACTGGCCAACATCCGGAGTGAACAGTGAGCAAGTGTTCCACCCAGACGTTTGGTTGCGGCCAGCTGGAAAGCCCCAGAGAGTTCGGCTGAATGGTGGTGACTGTGTGGCCACTCTAGGGTGATGCAGCTGGCCAGGCAGCCGACAGGTGAAGACTCTCTCCTGGTGGCCGGGCACCAAATGTTTGGGGGAAAGGAGAGAGAAAGATCAGAAGCAGTGGCCTTTCCCCAGATCCTCTTCCACTCCCGAGAGCACAAAGGCTGGCATCAAACCCCTCTAAAGACCGTCCGAGAGACCGCAGCCTCTGGCTCTACTGGCCTCCATTCCTAATCACACTCCCCGGGGTCCCTAATGGATTTGTTCCCACATTGAATTCTAGGCTTTGGGACAGGCCTGTGCTTTCATCCCGAGCACAACCTCTCTTGCTCTCCTCCCCATGCCCATCTGCATAAATGTTTAAGTAAAACTTCCAGGTCTGGTGGTTGCCTTTCCCAGGAAACCATGAAGTGATCCCCCTCCCTTCCCCATTTCAGAGAACTCCCCCCCCCCGGCCTCCTTCCAATCAACAAATTGTTTTATGCCATTACAAGGGCAAAGGCGATCACCATATACCATCGGCTCCCCCCCCCCCCCACCATCGGCTTAGTCTGTGAGAACCACCAGCTCGCCATCACTCTTGTCCTCGCCCTCGGAATCCTCGTCTTCACTGTAGTGGTACATCTCCCCATCAGGCACCGAATGGCTGTCTTCTGCCCCGTCCCCTTCTTCTGGCTTCAGGCTGCGCGTGTTCACTATGACGGGCATGTTTGGCTCCATGCCACGGGGCAAGTAGTGATCCATCAGGGGTGAGGCCAGCGGCATCCCAACTGAACGCTGGTACACGAGATCCGAGGACGAAGGCGGCACTTGGTTGCCTTGGGGCCTAGAAAACACACACTAATGTAAGAAGGGCGGCCTCCTCCCTTTTGCTCCCTCCAATCCACCCTCCCTGCCCTATAGAGTCACCCCTCTGAAACAGTCACTATCCCCCCACACAAGGAAAGAGATAACACTAATGTGTGGGTCAAAGTGTCTGTGCAATGCTGTCCTCTAGTGGAGAGAAGAGGACCAGATTAGCTGTCTGCCATGACGCCTGAGCAGCCAAGCATGACTGGAAATCCTCTTCACTTCCAGGAAGGCTTTCAGGGCTGCCTGTCCCCTGTAAAGTGCCAATTACTCCAACGTGATCCAGCAAAGCACTTAATCACATGTGTGTTCCCTTCAAAGTCGGTGAGAACATGGAGATACTTGAAGTTAACGCCCCGGGTTTCGCTGTTTGTCTGGGTAAGCAGAACACAATTGTGCCTTTGCCATCCAGATGAAATTTTTTAAGAACTCAGGTTTTGGCCCGAACTCCTGGACCCCAGCAACGCTGTGCCATGGCATGCCTTCTCTCTCTCTCTCCCCCCCCCCCACTTGCATTCCAGCAACAGGGAGCTCCTGGCTCCCACGCCATCCTTGGGAGCAAATGGGACAAAGGTACAGGGAGCCTCACGCAATCAGGTAGCCCTGCCTGGCGTCCTGGCGCCGGTTCCTCATCAGTGCCTTGTACTCGCCAACACGCAGCCGCTTCCCTTCCACAATGCAGGTGCGCTTGGGGCGAGGCTTGTACTTGTAATTGGGGTACTTTTCCAGGTGCTGCCGGCTGAGTCGTGCCTGCTCCTCATAGTAGGGCTGCTTCTCCTGGTTTGACATCGATTTCCATCGAGAGCCTGAAAAGAGGACAAAAGGGGGGGGGGAGATGAATACACATGGCCAACTTCCTACTTGCGTCTCTTCTTCAGGGGCCTCCAGCAACACAGTCTCCATCTATCTTGCACCAGTTAGGTGGGACCCACCAAGCCACCAGCCACATCCCAAGGGCTCCAGGAAACCTCTTTTACTGTCTCTGTGGAACGTCAAAAAGCCAGGGGTCATGAAGGGTCTGGCCATGCCAGCTGAGAGTTGAGAAAGCTGCATTTGGCCTGATGGGTCCAAAGTTTGCAGGGCTGGGCTAGGCAAACAGCAAACTAGATGGAATCCAAATATCAGAAGAGCTAGTTGTTGTTTCTTTAGTTTCCCCTCTTCTCACTTCAAACATGGCATGAACCACTCCTTTTGCCATCAAATGAGGCTGACTTGTGGCGACTCCTAGTGGGGGCTTGAAGGCAAGGGATGTTCAGAGGTGGCTTGCCATTGCCTGCCTCTGCATCATGACCCTGGTATCCCTTGGAGGGTCTCCCTTCCAGATACCAGCCAGGGCCAACCCTGCTTAGCTTCCGAGATCTGACAAGATCAGGCTTGCCTGGGCTATCCAGGTCAGGGTGGCACGAACCATTATTGACAGGAATATGTTCTTGTCTAACCACTTTAGCTGGGAACAAGGTCCACGGGACTTTCCACATGTAGGTTTATATCTGTACCTATTTAAATAACCCCAATGTGATGGCAAAGGTATAATGAGCACATACCCTGTCTGATGCATCAGAAAAGTTTCATTTGAGACGAACAGCAAATTAAGACTAAAAAGGTCATTTGCATACAATATTATAAAGGAATGAACTACACATCTGAAAGACTGAAATCGCTTTGATTGGCAGGTGATGAGGAATCTACAAGACTGAAACACTGGGGGGGGGGCGGACATATGACAGGGCACAGGAGCTTTTCCTTCATCTTTCCACATCAACAAGGGGGATCCAAGGCCATGGTCAGCCGGCTACCCACCTAATGCTAATTAGGATCCCTCCCTCTCGTTGACCTTTTCCGTCCCCTTCCTACACTGCTCTTTGAATTCTTCCAAGCACAAGGTATAGGGAGCAGGTGCAATGGCTAAAATAGGCTGCCCTGCTGTGCAACTTGCATTCCCTGGGCTGGGTGACCTTTACCGTCATTCTTGCCCGGGAGAGTGCGAAGAATGCAGACTGGAGTGATATGGACAGTTTCACCCCGGCAGTAGATGAAGGAAGAAGCAGAGGAGCTAGGAGGGAGAGGAGCACTCCAAGGTTAACTTGGCTGTACTCAGAAACAAAACTACCTCGGTTCCTAGTCAAGGGACTGGCTCCGCAACATCCAGCAGAAGCAGCTGGAAGAGTCCTGAAGTCATAAAACAGATGATACCACTTCTCACTGCAAGTTGGGAGAATAGCATTTCTGAATGCTCCTTCACTTAAAAAGCTCCCTGAAAGCGGAAATGTAGCACATCGTCAGGGAGAAAGGTTTCAGCCCAGTCTATGCCCTGCTGTGGTCATTTCACTTTGCAGAGAAGTTATTTGAAAACAGAGGGGTGTTTAAAAATGCGGGGGGGGGGAAACCTTGCAGTAAGAAATGGTGCAGCTTATTCTACCATCTCAGTACTCATTTGGGCAGAACCGTTTCCGTTAGTGCCAGTGGGGTACTGAAAATTATTGGGCTAATTGCTATTGAGACAAAAACTCCATTTAACCTTTTGGATTATTTTAGATACACTGTCTTGAAGCCAAAGAAAAAACAAATGCACAAGACAAATGGACATAAATCAATCTCATGGGTTTGCGTGGGTTACCAAACTGCGCACTGTTACATAGGTTGCTCAGAAGGGAAGGGGCATAGTATAGCACTATCTCATCAGTTCTCGGAAGCTAAACCGGGTCAGTACTCGGAAAGAAGACCACCAAGGAAGATTCTGCAGACGAAGGCAATGGCAAACCACCTCTGCTTATCATTTGCCTTGAAAGCCCCCTGCTAAGGTTGCCGTGAATTGGTTGCAACTTGACAACACTTGGCACACACACACACACAGGTAGCCCAGGCGTCATAAGGCCCCCTCAATACTCTTGGTCAACACCACACTAGATCCTTACACCACAGTCCTCGAATGAGGGAGTCCTGGGTTATTTTAGCCATGAACTTAAATTAAATATGCAACGAGTAACCCACAAACTCCTGACACGAATGCATTGTGTGTTCACTCCCAGCAGAATGGACAAGCTCTTCAAAAACCACACCAGTCTCTTTAAATAACCAGCCAGAGGCAACACGAGCTATGATGAAGCAACGACTCAGCTTTAGGCCACACTGTAGGAAATGCGCGTGTGAGTCAGTGAGCATCTTTGAGAGGGAAAAGAAACACGATTCTGAGAAGGGCTATTTTTTATTAGTCTTAGCTGAACAAGAAATCTATATTAGAACCACAAAAATTATTACCAAGAAACAAGACAAAAGCACCCTAAGCTGGAGATCAACCCAAGTAAGTTTTTGCACCTTCCTCTGGGTTAAAATAGAGGTGTACATCGTTAAACCAGACTTCACAATCTTCTACTTACTTTCTGGGTTATGCTTCAGGTGATGGAAGATAATATGATCTCCTAAAATAAACTTACTGGAACAGTCTTCAAAGTACACCTCACTCAGGGGAATCGTGGCTCTATTTTGCTCTGCAAATGCATGCTTATTACAATTGGGTTCTTTGTCCACTGTATTGCCAATTCAAGAGCAGATTCAAGAATAGATTGCAAGGTATTCAGTCCAGTCTAGCTGCACAGCACATGCCAACTTTCACTCCATGGTTTAGGTTTGAGAAACGGTTTCCCTGCTGGGAAGATTATTTTAACTGTGTACGTTTCACATGGGTAGGATGAGGACATGCCTCCTTTCATTATCCTTCCTTTGTCGAGTCCTGCACTGTCAAAATTTAGATAGCAAGTGCTTGTCGTTTGTGGTTATTTGTATGGCAACAGACTCACAGTGCCATCCTAAGAACACTTTTCTGGGAGTAAAGCCCTGCCGAACGGATCTGAGTAGGATATTTCTCAAAAAGCTGCCTTCAGGAATTTTTGGCTTATGTAATTCTGATGAGCACCATGTAAAGTGATATTAATAACAATAGCAAGGTCCCTTTCAGGCCACAAAAGCAATGGCTACAGAAAGCTGGTATTCCGGGGCTGCTCCGCAATTTGCTATCTATGGTGCAAATGAAACAGGCACTCCAACATGTTACTCATTGTTTTGTCCCTTCTAGCTCTTGTGAGTAATAGACTTGCTAACATACACTGGATCCTCACTGACTGGTAAATATAAGGTAATAACTCATAAAGTGGCTTGGGTTGCTGCAGCCATTGGAAAAATCCAATGCTACGTTGTTGATGCAAATGTTGTGTGTTGTCATGGCAATGCTTTTATAAGAAACCGAGATTTGGACAGTGCCTTTTGGTTGACTGTTTGTAGGTTAGGTAACCCACTTTATTATAAATACACATGTTGTATGCTTCAGCACTAGATACTCTTTGCAGATGATGACATTTGCTTTTATGCACAAAAATAGCTGTTCTGCTCCTTTGGGTGAAACAATAAAATGGATTGTCTGGTTGGCTGCTGTTGCATGTAAAATTGTTGCCATCTATGACAGTGTGTGGCAACAAGAGAAAAGTGTCAGATGTACTTTACATTATTCAGCTGGAGTATGCAAGAAACATAAAACTATTTAACTTGCCCATCTTGTAACAGGCATAATGACTGAGGCTAGTAGATATCGAACCGCAGCTGAGGAACCTGATGCAATCCTTCTGAGATGGTATACGTACAAGATGCCTCAGTAATGATAACTGGTTAATTCTGGGTACGTTGGCCTCTACCCACACATAATTGCTGGACAAGGAGCAAGCAGTCCGTGTGCATATACAATGTATGTGCATGGACTCCATTCCCAATGGTCAGGAGCACTGTGCTTCAAATAATCACAATCATGGGGACGATACTTTGTACATATTGCTCATATTTTAGCAGCTGCACACAGATGGAGGACAAGTATTTCTACTTTCCATCTGAATGCACTGAAATCTATGCATATGTCATTTGAACAGAACAAGACAGAAAAGTATAGATGACTTATTGCTTGCCACTGAGATTCAAGTATAGATTTTAGAGAAATAAAAGCAAGTCGCCTAACACCATTCCCCACGAGTTCATGTCAAAACAATCCTCTTTTAGACATAAGCAATACTCCCATTCTGTTTCATTAAATTCCTGCTTCCTTTATCTGCCCTAAATGTTTTTGCTGCCTTATAATTGTGGCTATTTTGGTAACAAACAAACCCCTTTTTGCCAAGTCACCAAAGGTTCTGCAGATAATCGTGCAGTTTGATAAAAATGGGTGTAGGCAGCTCTACTTTCTGCAGATCAACACCCGATTGGCACCTCACTGGATCTATTCTTGATGGCTAGGGTCAGCTGCTACTGCCGAACTGGCTTTTGGAGCTTGTATGCTAGGCATATTTAGACTTGGATGGCGTTTGAAATAGAAGGTGTCCCCTACTAGAGTTCCCTATCTAACCACTGGCTCCTTGGATGGTCCTTATCCCAAAGACTACTTTCCACCTGTCCTCAGCAAGTGAGCCAACTTCAGCGTAATGCTCCTGGGCATGAACATTTATTTCCCTCTTCCTCCAGAAGCAGGCAGAGACTCTGAGCAGTAAGATGCTGAATCACCTTGCTGCTCATTGCTGGTCTGCACAAAAAGCCTCGCTACTGACTTTAGCTGAGACCTCCCGGGGCAAGCAGTGTACCTAAACTTCTCAGCTTGTCCCCGGGGTCAGAAAAGATTGAGCAGTTCTTCTCTAGGCTGGTGCTGAGCCTGAGATTCATGTTGCTATCTTAAGAACAGGGCCACAACCGCAGCTGTATCTACAGCTCCTGCAAAAGCGCTTGCCTTTGCTTCCTCTGCTCATGCGGATTTATCTTTATCTTCTTTCTTTTTTTGTCTTCCTTTTTAAAAAGCCTGCTTTCACATCTGTTTATGCATTCAGGTGTCAGCTCCAAAGAATCAGTCAGTTGAGATAGACAGTCATCAGATAGAGGTGAGGATTTGCTTTTGTGTTTTTAGCCCAGCTCATGGCCTGCTGGTAATCTGCACAGGATTAACAGTAATTCCTTGCCTGAAGGTGCATGGGCCTAACAACATGCCCAACACAAATACCAAAAGCCATTGGGGAACGGCACTAAAGGCGGTCTCTATGCACCTGCTTACCTAGAATTTTGCTGATGCTTGAGTTGTGCATATCTGGGAAGGCCTGCAAGATCTTGCGTCTCTCATCCTTGGCCCACACCATGAAAGCATTCATGGGACGCTTGATGTGGTTATTGTTCCTGGATTCAGGGAAATGTCGTGAGCCTGTCAGGAGATGACCACCAATGAAGAGAAAGTGCTTATCAAACACAACCGAATAGTAGGATGACAACTCTCATATTCCAACAGACCCTTGCTATGTTCTAAGTCATCTCCTCTATGCATTCATGTGTTCTTCATGACTTCCCCTTTCCTTTGCCACAGGCACCCTCCCTACTACTTATCCTGTAGCATCTAAAGTTGTGGCATTCAGTGCAGGTGTAGCTTCTCACAACACTGCAGCGTTATGGTGAGACAAAGTCCATGTGATAAAATTCATTCTTCTGCACAACTATTAAAACCATGTTACCGACACTCTCATAGTGGGATATATAGATGACATAGGAGTATCCCGTAACAGCACTGTGGATAAATGTTCAGCAAGTCATGGTAGTTATATTTACTTGAGGAAAGAACTTATGAACCAGTTGATGAGAAGACCCAGAGCTCATTCAGCAACATGGTAAGAACTTCTTGGTTTTCTGAAAGCTTAACAAACAAGGAACTCCAGACAATGTGGATTTCTCCTATCAGCTGAGATGCTGAGAATTCATAGTGCTAGTCATGGGCTCTGGCACGTCTGCAAAGAAGCATCTATCTAACCAAACTGAATTAATACATTTGCCATAAAGGTTTTGCCCTTTCTTCTCTTATTGCATTATGGAGTCAAGAAGAAACTGTCATTACCATCCCCATCACAGGTTAACATGGACTCATCCAGCCTCTGCAAAGAAGTTTCTTCCATCTGTTCTTTTGCTGGAGAAGAATCCAAGCTGACATGGTCCTGAGAGCATATGACAAGGTGGATAATAACAAGTTACTAGAGCAAGAATCATTAAAGAACAGAGTAGCCATGAAACCTTCCATAGAAGCGTTTAGCAGGATTTATGTTATATCTGATACTTTATGTCAGGTGAGGCCAGAAGTGAATGGCCCCATCGAATCTTCTAGTAATGAGCCCCTAATTGCAGTTCAGTGCAGTTCAAGAGATGCTCCTTAATTAGACAACAAAGGACCAAACAGGAAGCAGCATGCATCACAATGTACAGGGCAAGGGGGCTCTGGAGAGGTTACTTGGGATGTAACACATTCTGTGAGTTTATGGGAACATAGGAATTTTCTAAGAAAAGTCCCACTAAAAGTACAAGGAAGACACCAACAAGCAAACTGGGTAGCTTCTGTAGACATTTCTCTGAAGAGCCCCTAGGAAACAAGATCTTTTTTCGAGGACTTTTTGAACTACCTTATTGCATTCCTGAACAGGACAAGAATTCATTGTCTTATATTAGAACAGGGGTCCCCAGTGCAGCTGTCTACACCTTTCCTGGAGCCCGCCAAGCATTTTTAAAAGTAAGGGGCAGATGGGGCTTTTGCTCAACGGGGCTTCTGGTTGGCCAATGCAGATCTGATTGGCTGTGCAGATTTTTTTAAAGCAAAACATTGCTTTGGCAGCAGCTGCCTCCACTGTACAAAAATCTCCATGGTGTGACTGAAAGTATGGTGTGTGGTTGCAAACCCCCCCCCCCAAAAAAAATCCCTGTAACATGCTATGCTCATTTTAAAAGGCATCCTGTTAAACGGAGCTTCTGCCTGAAATGTTGGGAGATTTACTATTAGAGTTATGCATAACCTCACACCCAAACATTTTGTAGTTGGCTCTGCCTCTTGCAGCAGCCATTTTGTGATTGCACCCACCACATTGTATCAAAATTCCCAAGCAGCCTGTAGGTTCAAAAAGATTGGGGACCCCTGATTTAGAAAACACTGCATCTTGGTAACTTTCTCTTCAGATGACAGAGCTATTCCAACAGATTCCTCTTTAGAGTTGCTCTGACTGACATCTAAATTCTCACTTATGGTATTTTACGCAGAAGATGTCCCCACATTGTAACATTTGTGTCCAAATGTAACCAAACCTAAAGGGATTTCAAGCCCAAGAATGGCACTCACCTTCCTATAGGGGTGATTTGGAGAGCCATCTATTGCTCTGCTTTGGTTGTGCAGAAGCTGCCGAGCATCTTGGATTGCTTTGGTTATAGCATCTCCTTCTCCGAGGAACCCTGAATGTTTTTTTTTTAAATCGATAAACGTTTTAATGAAAAAATCAAAATATACATGAACAAACAATAAAATTAGTAATAGCCATCAGCATTCAAAAACAGAGTAAAAATAAACAAGTAAACATCTAATGCCTATGCGAAGATCCCTAAGCTTCCTTATTCTCCATACAAGAACTCCGCAGCTTCAGTAACCCAGTATCTGGTTTTCAGAAAGTACCAGTTAATCCTTCCTGAGAGTCATCTGAAAATTTTCTTTTACTTATCAAATATGAAATATTCCATTACTGTGGGATCACAGTTATTATGAAGCTGCAAAGCAAACTTCCCTCTGATGGAAAGTACATTGGATCACAGACTCTAAATCAATTCATTTGGACATATTAACATCTTATGATTCTGCACTTACAATTTGAATGCAGATTAAAATCCCGTGAACATTTTGAAAAGAAAATCCATATTTGATTTTGAGTTAAACAGATAAGTAATTAACATTTCATGATCTTGACTATGTGCCTACAAAACAACAACAACAAAAAAAATAGCTTTCCCATCGCATCTTTTAATCCAGAACCAAAATTTCCTTATGCAGGTAAGACTGGCTCTTCAGTGCAACAATACGAATCCAGGAAAACAATCCCAGACAGAATCTTTAAGGATATCTTATTTGGACCCTTCCTAAATGCAGAAGTGAGTGAAATTATCTTCCCATGCACATAAAAAAAGAATCATCCACGATATTTGCAATGAACTTGCAGCTCTAACTCATCTACATGAAGAGTTGTTTCAGTGCTGGCTGAGAGCACACAGTGCTTACCCAAAGGCAGGCTGGGAGGACTGGTCTGCAACTCCCGAGAAACTCTATGGCTGGGAGTGAGGGACTGACAGCTGCTGATCTTTAAATTAGGTGAACAGGAGGCATTGGGGAGCTCAGAGCCTTTGGGCTTAGCTGTTAAGTTCAATGGCTGTGAAGATTCCTAAGAAATGAAGGGGAGAAGAGGAAGAGTAGATATGTAATGCCATGGGTGGGGGGTTGGGAGCCAACAAGGAAGGAAGTTGAGAGGTTATACCTGGATCTGCAGGTGGCCTGAGCTGGCAGGTCTCTTCAGGGCTGAAGGAGGAGGGCTGTGAAGAAGCTGCATGGGGTACTCTACTGCAGAGGGCACACAAACAGAAGGGTGGAGATTATGAACAAAACCAAGCCTGGACCCAAATCTGCCTCTCAGAAACAACTTTCAGGGAATCATGTTGACATTAAAAATGAAGAAACCCATATTATTCTCTGAGAAATATGCAAATCAAACAGATCCACACAAAATTAATTTGTTCCGTGCCAATTACATTTTCCCAGTTTGTGTCCCTGAATGCTGGGGGACAATCATTTCCTCTTTGCACTCTACATGTTTACCAGAGCAAATGCCCGTGGAAACTCTGGGTACCTTTGAACAAACATGCAGGAGTTCATAGTTCCTATAGAACAATTTCTCTGACCACATAAACTGACACAATCCCATGGACAATTGCAGAAAACCATCCCAAACAGAGAACTACACAAAAGTACTGAAGTAGACTGTGACCCATTACCCATAATTCCATTATTTCTTGGCCTCTTCATACCTGGCTTGCAAGGGATTGGCTGTATAGGAAGTGCCATTTGAGTGTCAGGGGTGACAGGAATAGGCTGGTGGTTGGGAGGAAAGGCTGGAATCATTACATAGGGCATGTTGACCTGCTGAAGAGAGGAGCGAGAAAAGAAGGAAGTGGGGGATAGAAATGCAGCCAAATACAACATTACTTTGAGGGGAAAGTACAAGTTACCCAGACAGGCCTATCACCAATCTGCTGGAGAGTGCTGCAGAGGGATCTAATGACCATCCAACTTTTCACCCCATTAGTGCAGTATCAAAGCATTATATTAGTTCATGTACCCTTCCAACGTTTTGAACATGGAGGGTCAAAAGCATCACTGTCCACACTGCAATGGGAGGGAAAGGGGACACTCACGATCAGAAAATGTGTGTACATTTAACTTTACCTAGGGATATGGAACTGAACACAAATACAGCTCTTCATATGTGCAAATTAAGGCCACCTCTACACAACTGGCTGGATCCACAGCTTTGCTCATGCAAGTGTCTTCCCCGCTTTCCCCTCCTTCCCAACAGTCCCTTCTGATACTGGGTATGTTGATTCCCGGAGTTATGGGACCTGCATGGAGAAATAGCTACATAGGTCACTGGGCTATAGTGAGGAAGGGGAAGGGAGCAAAATCATCCGACCAACAACTATCCCAGCTTAACCATCATGGCTGCTAACCAAGGAAATCCAGAGAACGAGGTTCTCTAAAGGGACTAAAATCTCTCACAAAGAGTTCTGAGCATCCTTACAGCGCCACAACTCTGAAAACTTTTTAAGAAAAAGTACTTATGGCTAAACTGATGTCAGACCAAAATAAATTAATAGATTCATATACAAGCAAATGCCCACCAGGTGCTGTCCCCAGCAACACATGTTCAGAGGGGCACAGATGCTGAACAAAGAGGTTTTATTTAGCCGCTGTGTGTTAGGCCTATACTCCATAAATTTGTCTATCCCCTTTTAAAAACATCACCGATCTATTCCTGTTCCACCTTGCCTTCTGTCCCTCTAAGAAGAAGGACACCAATTGCTTGGAGGTTGCATGACTATTTAGCATGTCAGAATCTGGTTCATTATTCAGATTAAACAGGTAAATTGCTCTGCTCAGAGCTAACTTGCACCCGCCCCCTCACATAAAATCAAGAAACTATTTGCCATTCCTTTCTGTGTCCGGGCTGGTTGAAGATTCCCATGTTGCCACATTTTAAAACTCAAACTGCTATGTTAATTTGTCTAGTCTTTCTGTGACACATCTACTCGAATCATCCAAGGAATCTGTGACAGAACGCAACATCAAACTCCTGTCTCCTGATTTTCAGGCTAACTCTTCTAATTGAGCCAATCTTCCTTGCTATGTTGTCAGATAAACTCAGAAAAAAATAACTCCCTTTTACCTGAATCTGCTGCTGCAGTAGGTTGATTTTGTGTTGCTGCTGGATGAGCTGTTGCTGTTGCTTGGCAATCTGCAAGAAGGAAAGGTGGTGGAAAAGACTCTTAGCCACTGAGCAGTCTCTTCAACAGAGGGTCCTCCAAGCAAAATGGCTTGTCTCTATGAGGAGGTCCCAAAGCAAGGCACGTCACCCATGTAGGAGCCAAATTTATTTATTTAGGTCACAAGTGCCTTTCATCATCACATGTAGCCTGCCCCAAATATGTGTGGTAAAAGGCCACTGAGCCCACACTCAAATTAATCTAGTATGTAAAACAGAATTGTTTAGGAGACCATTTTTTTAAGTTATAGAATGGTTCAAGAAGGTGTGAAAACAGGACTCTGGACTATGCGTAGGATGTGTTATCCTGCTCTCATTGCATTGTTTTCTAGTTACATAATACCATTTTCTGCATTGTTTAACACTGAATGTTTACATACTGCATGCTTGGTTCCGATTGCTGTAATCCTATCCTATTACATTGCTTATTAGCAGGGGTCATTTCTTGCAGGAGCACACAGGAGCGGAGCTCCAGCAGTAGAGTCCAGGGGGCGGGCACATGCAAGAAGCCCCACCCCCTGCTCCCAGCAGCCCCGGGAAGAAGCAAGAAGCAGCCAGGTAAGTTGCAGTGGGTGTTGCCTTCTGATACACTTCTGGTGATGTCAGGGTGTGTGGCATATGCAAATAAGTTATGCTAATAAGTTATGCTAATGAGCTCCTGCACCTCTTTTTCTACGAAATGACCCCTGCTTATTAGAGGTCTCATCCTATTGAGTCCATCAATTTACACTATGTAGTTGCCTTGAGACTCAGTGGAAAAAGTCAACTATAAATGCAGTAAATAAATAAATAAATTGATGAGAAAAACAAAAATACCATGCAGTACAATGTTACGTCAGAGCTGTGGCTGAAAAATGCTAAGAGTGCCATCACAGGCGGTACTGTAGTACCTAATTCTAAAGTCTATAATTCTGGCATCTGCTTTAAATCACGGACATTTGCTATTCCTTTTCTCAAGTTTCTTAGTGCCTTCTACATAATCACATTTGATGAAGTTAACTCTTGGTCTTGCTTCGAAAGGCTCGTGCTATAAGATGCCACACGTTTCTTTGACTCCTCTGGAATCTTGGTATTTAGTTTTTATAAAGTTGTCAGTTTCTTGTTCTTATTTAAACACTAAATTCTAAAGAATAATTCAGGGGCATAAAACTTGTGCAGTATTGAGAGCTACGCTGAGCATACGATAAATGGGAGACAGCAGTTAATCTGCATACCATGTCCACAATGAGCAATACTTTGCTTAATATTTTCAGAGATCTGGCAGCTGTCACAATACACTCATCCTTATTCTTCCATGTAGCTATGGGGGGGGAGTATTTTCATTGACAGCTGGAAAACAGATGCTTTTTCTTAGTGATGTTGAGGAAATATGACTGGACCCTAAAGGTGTGAAAATCTCAATGTTACTCATAGCAACCAATGAACCATAACTCTGGCCTGCATTTCTAAATCCTGGTTTAGACATCAGAGATTTAGGGCACCCTTAGAACCCTGCAGTTGGAATCCCAGTCCTACATATCCCTGCAACTCCATAACACAACAGTATATGTTATCTTATTTATTTTGTGTTGATGCATGAGTCTCATTTTAAATACTGATTTGGCTTCTGTAATAATGCATTCAATGCTTGAGATCATGAAGATAGCCACTCCATCAAACTTGTTTACCCCAGAATGGACATTCTGTCTTTAAATTGTTTATCCTTATTCTCAGGGCTTTTTTTGTAGAAAAAGCCCAGCAGGAACTCATTAGCATAATAGGCCACACCCAACAGCAGAAACTCATTAGCATATTAGGCCACACCCCTGACAGCACAGCTCATTGGCATATTAGGCCACTCCCCCATGTTACCAGAAGTGTGGTTATCCAGCCACACCCACCTTTTGCTTCTTATTCTGTTTACCTTGTTTGTTGTCCAAACCCAGGGCTTTTTTGTAGCAGGAACTCCTTTGCCTGTTAGGCCACACACCCCTAATGTAGCCAATCCTAATGAGTTTCTCCTGTTGGGTGTGGCCTATTATGCTAATGAGTTCCTGCTGGCCGTGGCCAACTTGGAAGCCAGCCGGAACTCCGTTCCTGTGCGTTCCTGCCCAAAAATAGCCCTGCTTATTCTGTTTCTGTTAAGGGGCATGCTATTAACCCCTTTTGCCCTGAATTGACAATTAAATCCTTTTTCAAGGCTACCTAAAGTCTACAAAGTTCCTACCTACTTTCCGTGCCGCCTTCCAAAGAAATATTCCAAAGGCTGGGGAAAGAAAAAAACAATCCCAAAGTGGGGCCCTGTTGCCTGCCTACCTGTTCCTGCTGCTGCCTGGCCAACTCCATCTGTTGCTGCTGCTTCTCAAACAGCATAGCTGCCATGTTCTTCTGTTCAGAATGGGCCGTCAACAGCTGGTCCCGAAGGGTGGACAGCTGGTTAATCATGACCAACAGCTGCAGTTCCTTCTCTGCCAGGCTTTCTTGGGTTCCTGAGACAAGCAAGAGAACAAGTAGCAAAGACAGTTGGTGAAATCTAGAGCTGCAATGGTCAATTGATTAATTGTTCAGATAAGCTGATTTTAAACATGTTTTGATTGTTTAAAAAAGAACTTCTGATTGATTAATCAGGCAGCAGATTTTTTTAAAAATTCTTCCAGTGCACTTGCATACAAAAACACCATCTTAGGATAGCCAGTATGGTGTACATCTGGAAATGGGAAGCCCCAAGTTCACATCCCCACTCTGTTATGAAACTTGTTAGCTAAACTTGGGTCAATCAAGCTCTCTCGGTCAGGATAAAATGGAGGAGGGAAGAACTAGATATGCAGTCATAACATCATGGGAGGATGGGTAGAATAAAATGTGAAAGAAAGACGAGGCATTCCGCCTTCCCTCTCATGCAGGAGGGAATGCCCTCTCCAAGACAGTTATGTGCTCAACATGAGAATGCTCTTTTTCTTGAGAACTCCTCTCTAATTTCATCGTACTATTGTTTTATTTTGCGTTCAAATATATATTCAGATTTAACTGATCAATCAATCAAAATTAAACATTAATCAATTAAATTAATTAATCAATCTCCTAAAAACTCGGTTCATTAACTAAGATTTCTTTCATTCAGTGACAGTCCTAGTGGAATCTCATGTGACCTAGCATATGATTTACAACTAGCTGAGGCTAGGAAGATTAGCCCTCATTAAATACCAAACCACAAAACTCACAAGATACAGCAGCTAATACTAAAGTGCCATGTTTTATATTTTATTGCTTTTGCATCTTCTGTAAACTCTTTGGCTCTCAGAGCATTAGGACTTACTATTTAACTTAACAGGAGCATGGAAGACAGAAGCGATCTCTTGTACCTAGGGCTGCCAACTTTTGTTTGGAAAATCCCTGGAGATCTGGGGGTGGAGACTAGGAGGGCAGAGTTTGGGGAAGGGAAGGAGCTCAGCAAGGATAGGATGCCACGGAGTAGTGCACCCTCCAAAGCTGCCATTTTCTCCAGGGGAACTGATCTCTGCAGTCTGGAGATCAGTAATTCAAGGAGAACTCCAGTCCCCACCTGGAAGTTAGCATCCCTAGCTGGACCAAATGAGATCTGCTCTTTATGCATGGCCTGTGCTAGACCACTGAGCAGTCTCAGTCAAACTATTATACCTATAGCTTACCTTTCACCTCTTTAGACTCTGTTGGACTTTTCCCCAGAAGTCTTTCTTTCCAGTCACTGGACAGTAACTTCTCAATGGTGGGCATTACTGTTGTAGAGTTATGGTGCAACATGCAGGAAGGTCAGAAGTTTGGAAAGAGAAAGTGTAAATAATAATATTAAACCCTGCGTCAATAAAATGTGTGTATACCACAAGTATTAGAGGACTGCAGAAACCTAGCATAAATCTCACAGTGACCAAAAGGGCCAGGGGAATTAACTTAATTCTATGCTTTGTTCCTAATCAGTTGATTGCCCAAAACTGAGAATGAACATACGCAACAGGTTACTCCATAAATGCTCCTCCCATATATCTCCTACAGATGTGCCAGACTTTTTCACTTTTAAAGACATGGTGTTTTACTAGAGGAATGGCTTGTTTTGATTCACTATGAACAAATTATTACAGATTTGTCAATGTAACCATTATTTATTTATTTATTTATGCATTCGATTTATATACCGCTCAGACCCGAAGGTCTCTGAGCGGTTTACAGGCAAATTTCCAATTACAATTTATTCCTAAGCTACGGCCACATATATTACGGGGTTGGGGCTGCCTACCGGCACCCAGGTGGCAAGCTAGTATTAATATAGAGCAGCAATGAATCTAGTATAATAGAGGAGTATAACATGAACATCTTCTCCATACATATTTAGACCAATAGTCTATCTAGCCTAAACCATCTCCAGCCAACTTACTTGCCTTAGATTCAAAGCTGCAGGGAAGTAGATGGTTTCCCCCCCTCCTTTTCCACAGCATCGTGATGCATTTATGCATCTTCCAAGATTCCCCTGGCTTTACTCTGCTATTTCCAAACCTGCCTTGCTGTGAAGTTTCCGGAAAGATAGCAGCAAAGCAAGGATAGCTGCTGTGTGGGTGAGAAAAATCAGATTTCCTCAGCCCTGCTCCCATTTTCCCTGCCCTAGTCCACAGAGAGGCCATTTCTCCCCCACATCACTGGGGCTTTTTTGTTTTTTAAATTGGCAACTGAATATTGTTATATCATTATAACAATGTAGCAATCTGTAGCAGGTTCTCTGAATTCTCAGCTTTCGGGGGGGGTTGGGTTTTGTTTTTGTTTTTTTAATAAGTCTTACAGTCTGTAGAGATATTAAGGGAAAGGCATATCTCGGCAACAAAATTATTTTTAAAATGAAAGCTGAGAATTCAGAGAATCTGATACACAGATAGTTATGTCATTATAACAGTATAACAGTCTTCAATAGCCAGTGAAAAACCTGAAAAGGCCCTAGTGGTGCATTTGGAGGGGGGAATGCCCAATGCCAGAGGACTGGGAAGGAAAATTATGGGGAAATTTGTCATGTGGAAGCCCCACTGCTGTGTCTGCTGCAGTGTATCAGCAACAATGGGGAAATCACACAAGCCTGTCCCAATGCGGAAAACAGCCCAGTAACACTTATCCCTGTTTCCAGCAGCATTCCAAGAAACCTCACACAAGGTCTTTCCCTGCCTTGCAACTTGAGGGCCTTTAACTAGAGACATCAAGAACTGAATCTTGGGAGCCGAAAATGCAAAGCATATCTTCTTCCACAGACAATGGCTTTCTGTCAGAAATAACTGAAAGGAAGGGGGTGGGGTGGGGTGGGGTGGGACAGAATGATAATGGCTGTCAAATGTCCTTCCTACCTTCTTTGAGGTTCTTATTAAAATCCAATTTTTCCTGATTGCTGACTACTGGCTCAAATCCAGGGTTCCTGGAGTCTAATGCCCTGTCCACTGGAGATCCAGATTCCTGAAAGACAGACAGCTGTTGTCAATCACCAGAAGTTTTCAGAAAAATAAATAAAAAAGAAGGACAATATATATGCTGATCTCAAAGCCATTCTTCTGTGCAGAACCTTCCTAGTATCCTCTGGGGAATCAGCTGCTGATATGTTCAGTGAACCATTTAAGAGCTAAGGAAAATAATGGAAATATTTCACTTTTCCCTACTAAATGAAACCTTTCCCAAAGAGTAAAATTGCTGCGATACAGGTCAAGGCCAGATGTTACAGTGTCTGCATGTCCAACCCATGGACAGTGATGCCATTTTAGAGAAGAATTTGGCCATTTAAAAATGCTGCGAGGGCCCAGTCCTGATCAAGCCCATGGCCCCAAGAGATTGTGCTTCCTCCACATGCCTTTTCAAGTGTCAAAACAACTGGGGGGGGGCTTTTTCAGCAATTGAAAAGGTGGGGGGGACAAGATCACCTGGTCCTGTAGTGCCATGGGCCCAACCAGGTTTGAGCCCCCAAAGCATTTTTAAATGGTCTTCTCTAAAATGGTGTTGGAACCCACAGGTTGCCATAATGTCTAGGAGAAGGGGGAAATCCTAGGAATCAGTAATGAGAAAGTTACTTTGTTGTTTTTAACTTTTTTAAAAGAGAGAGAGAGAGAGAGAGAGAGAAGGGGATACATTGAATTGTGACAACATATGTAGGAAATACTACAGACCTTTCCCCATACAACAGTGGCTCTCCAAAATTTCAGACAGAGACATTTACCAGACCTGCTACTCATGATCCTTAAAGTGCCAGGAATTGAATCTCTATCTTTCTCCATGCAGACCTTTTACTTTTCTTCACATGGATTCAGGTGGGTCGCTGTGTTGGTCTGAAGCAGCAGATCAAAGTTTTTTCCACGGCACCTTTAAGAAAGCTTCTACCACACAGAAGCTTATACCTTGAACAAAACTTTGTGGGTCTTAAATATGTCACTGAACTTGAACTTTGTTCTTGACATGAGTCTTAACATACCAAAGCCACAACAGAACAGCTAGATTCGAGTTCAGTAGCACCTTAGAAACCAGCAAGATCTTCAGGGTATGAGAGCTTTTGAGAATCAAAGCTCCCTTCGTCAGATAGCTTTGACACTTGAAAGCTCATACCCTGAAAATCTTGTTGGTCTCTAAGGTGCTACTGGACTCGAGTCTAGTGTTCTACTACAGACCAACATGGCTGCCCTCTGGAACCACAAACATAGTGGCCAGGTTGTTTTGCAACATAGCCCTGAGACACATTTTTGCCATGAGAAATTAAAGACCTATATTTATGGATGCATTCAGATGGAACACTGAAGCCTCAGCAGAACTATAGAAGATGCGGAGGGGGGGGGGGAGAAGGCTGGCAGCTTAGCTTTGGCCCTTTAAGGACAAAAAAAGTGAAGAGCCCTGTTTCAGGGCCAGGAAGCAGGACAGGACCCAGGAGACTTTGTCACACCTGTGGGAGGGACTGAGAATTGGTGCCTTCACTCAATGGCAGTGGTGATTTGTGTGACTTGTCAGAACCAGGTGTGGTGCTAATGGCCTCTTCCTGTGTGGACTGGAAACAGCTCTCGTTTTTCTCTTCTGTTTTAATGGTGCAATTCACCATGTTCCCAGCTCCATTGAGCTCCAGCTGAGGAGATGGAGGGCTCCTCATGGACATCCTGCAAGGGGAACACAGGAAGGGGAATGGGGGGGGGGGGGAAGAGAGAGAGATTAACATGATAAAAAGAGTGGTGGACCAGCCACACTGACTTAACTGTAATGTCTGCATTCCTATGTGCCTAAGACTAACAGACAACTTTTGAGTCACACTACCATACAATTTAAATCCAATACAAATCTGGGCTCCCTGAGTTAATGTATTTATTTAGAAATAAATCCACACTTTATAATTTATTTAAATTTAACTGCCAGCTTATCAAAATTGAAAAATCCAACACCCAAGTAAAATCAACATTTTAAAAACATATCCCGCCCCCCATGTCCTTTTCCTCCATGTTCCTGAGAGTTCAAAGGGAAGTGTTCTTATGCATCTCCTCAGAGACTTCATCTCAAAGCCTTGGTGCTCCCCAAAGATTTATGGTAAATCCATGCTCCTCTACCCACCACTGATATTACTTCTCTAATAGATGATACAAGGAATAGGTCTTTTTTGCCAAATTGTGGGGTGGGCTGGAGTGATCATTTGAGGAGATGTACACACTGTCCTAAGTGTCATGAAGGAAGAAAGGTGGGATATAATCAATAAATAAAGGAATTAAGCCTGGAAACTAACCAGCAACAAGTATAATTACAGCAGAATGGGTAGAACAGATAAAAGCCACTATCTAGGAGATACATGGCAGCATTTTGCACCAGCTGGGTCATCTTGAAATGCAGCCCCAAAAGGTCATCACCTTTACTGGCATACAAGAAATAAACCATGCAGGCAAATGGCCACAATTTGTTGTAAGAGGCAACAACTGAATCAGCCACAAGTCATAACCACAAAGTAAAAGAGACATGCATGCGTTCTTTGAGCATTCCAGCATCTGTGTGCAGTGCCATGCTCTTCCTCCCTGGAAGGTGCTATCCATACAAGAAAAATATCACTGATGAACTGTCCCATCAGAGATAACACACTTTGGACCACCAACGTCTAAGGAAGCAGCATTGCATTAGCACTGCAATTTTCTGGTTGTGCCGAGACAGAACAAGAGCAGGAGCACAAAGGGTTTGGGGCAAGTGCACTCACTGCAACTGGCCAAACGCCACCATTGCTGCCACTCGGAGCACTGGAAAAGCGCAGGGCAGTAATTACATAACAAACAAAGCCTGTCTCAAGCTGTGAATTAATCAAACTGCTGAAAATAAAACCTTCCTCTCAGGAACTTCAGACAAAAGAAATGAAAACAACAAGGCTGGCTGGGTAATGAAAAGCCAGCACACTGAATAGGGGACAAAAGGAAGTGGAACAATAGGGTGTTGGACAAAAGCAATAAAGTAAAAGGAAGTGTGACAGCTGAACAATGGGGCACTGTGCACGCCAGAGTTTCTGATCTTAGCAGGGCTTTTTTATCTCGGTTCCCTGCCCTTCTCTGAACAAATCATTGTGCTTTTCAGGCTATTGGGTTTCCTTTGCTACTTGCTATTTGGCTCCTACAGCCATTCCAGTCAGAAACCTACGCTGTTCCATTTTCAACCATGGCAGCATCCTCTCTGTACCACAGCCCACCAGAGACCAAATAGATTCATCTTCTGGAGACAAAAGCCATCCATGTGTTTGGGAGGAATGCTGATAAGTGACAGCAACTCACCCTCACCCCAGCAGAACATGCCAAGTGCATTATGTTGTCTATAGCAGAAGTTTCTCTGCTTCTGGTGTGACACATGGCCCAAGGAGAAAGTTTTCGGTCTCTGTTTGCCCCAGTTGTTCCACTGCCTGCTCAAAGAGCTAGGCAAAGGTGTCCAAACATCATGTTGTGTGAGATTTAAGTTCCTTGTCATTGCAGAACCCTACTGCTGTATTTTTTTTTATCAACCATCAATTAGTGGGCACTTGATAATGTATTACAAGGGCACCACCAAACAGAGGATTTTTCAAGCATCAAACAGGCTGGTTCAGTGCACCTGACACTCATAACAACTGTACCGATCCCCTCTACACCAAACAAAAGACCACATAATTAGTAGGATCACTTTAAGCAGCACAACTCAATAATAATATCTTGCCTTTATACAGAGTACTTAAAGCACTCAATGTACTTTACCTCAGTAGACCTTACTACTCCCCTATCAAGTAGATCACTACCCCCATACTGCAGATAGGGGGACTGAGGGCAAGACAAAGCTCACCTAAGACCATTTGGCAAATACAGGGCATGGGTGGGGTGTGAGCCAGGTACTTCCTGGTTCACAGTTTAGTTTCTCAGCCACTATATGTTGTGGTCAACTGAAAGCAAAAATTCCTGAGGGGCTCTAATGTAATCCCTTGTGCAAAGCTATTTTGGGTCTCTGTCTATCAGAGGCTGGGCAAGCCACACTTCCGGTTGAGTGCTAACTCGTAACACCAGCAGCAGCATTAGAACCTGCCATATACTCAATAGCAGGTTATATTTGTTGAGAGACTGGGCATTCTTTACAGTAAGCAACATAACAGCCTTCATTAGGAAATCACTGGGGAATGTATTCTGTTTTCCCAGTTAGTGTAGAAAAATTCTGAATGTGTTGTTGTAGGCCACATTCCTTCCTCTGATCTGTGCTTATCCTTCACAAACCTAAGGGTCATACTGGGAGATCTGTAATGGGGTCTTTAAAAAGTAAATTGTAGTCATGCACAGTCCCAGCTCAGACTGAGGCCATGCTGGGAAGAAAGGGTTTAATCCTTCCAGCCCCTACAGATTCACTTACTAAAACTGCCTTCCTACTGCACTATTATTCCCCCATCTTCCCCCCCCCCAAGACTAACAGTAGTGCAGAGAGGAGTGTCAGCTTTTATTGGCAAATGTGCCTGAGTGAAAGGGTTAAGCCCCCTCTGTACTCTGTGTCAGGGCCTCAGTCTTACAAATGCTGTGTCAGGGTTGCAAATGCTGTTTTTAAATTGCTGGGAAGATCCAGTCACAGATCTCTCCACTTCTCCTCTCTTTTGACTCTGTTACCCATGGCATGAGAATCTGAGAAAGACGGCCTCGGGTTCTCTGCACATGATTTACCATAATGTAGGCTGTTACACCCTGCCAACATCTCTTGATCCAAAAAAGTGGTCATAAACATGAAGTCGAGGATTAACGGCCTCTTAGGCACACATAACCCTTTACCAAATTTAACATCTAGACACTCATAAATGTCAACCAGGAGCCCACATTAGCCAACTGTGTGTTCCAAGAATACACAGCACCAGAGTTTCATTCATAGCACAAAACCATTTTACCTGACAGTATCTGGATAACTCTGTTCATTCTGCCTAGGTTAAGGTGAAGATATGCTGAAGATAATCACCAACAGGTATTAACTAGCACAATACAATTTACCTGAAGGCCTTCTAGTATGTGAGTGCTCATAGTGCTCATACCAATGCACCAGGGAAGACTGAACTCATCCTAAAGAGTCATCATAGCTCTGATCTTCTCTTCAGCCATGCACGGTTATATAGGATGAAAAAAGGACATCTTACTATCACCAGGGACAATGTGATCTACACAGAGCATACTTACTTCTCAAGTGGCTAATGGACACTAGGGCTGCCAGGTGGGGGCGGGGGGTGGGTAAACCCCCGCTTTGGAGGCCCGATTTCCGCTTTTTTTGCCACGGCCATACAAGGGAAAACTCTATGGTTTTCCCTTGTATGGCCATGGCCCCGCCCCCAGCGTGCCTGCCGTCCTCCCGTCACGTCCGGGTGACGTGCGTGCAGCGCACACGCGCGCACACAAGTTGCCAGCCGGGAGCCCCCCACTCCCGGCAAAGATACACTTGGCAACCCTAATGGCCACCCAAGCTTGATCCAGCCAGCTCCTTCTGCAAACTGGAAGCAATCTTAAACTACTTAAAACAGGATACTGGTTAGGGCCAAAAATCTGGCTAAAAGTTATTTTAGCTCATCATCAGGGCCTCATCCATCAATCTCTGTGCTGCTTCCTCCCTCCTGTTTCTGGCTTCACAGCTCCTTTCCCCTAGTCTATCCTATTTCCTGCTTGACAGAGGAGAGAAAGAAGCCCTTCCTTTGAGGCCTGGGGTAGTCAAAAGATGTTGGTCCCCGATCGTAGTGCCCTTGGGGGAACATATGGGGAAAGGCAGTCCCTTAGGTATGCCGGACCCTGACCATAAAGGGCTTTAAAGGTAAGAACCAGCACTTTTAAGCGGATCCGGTACACTATCAGCAGCCAGTGCAGTGCCTTCAGCACAGGTCAGATGTGGTTCCGCCTAGGGAGACCCATCAACAGCCTGGCTGCTGCATTCTGCACTAGCTGCAGCTTCCGGATTTGCAACCAGGGAAGCCCCAAGTAGAGAGCGTTACAGTAGTCCAGCCTCGAGGTGACCGTTGCATGGATCACTGTAGCCAGGTCATCACGGTCAAGGAAGGGAACCAACTGCCGTGCCAGCTGAAGATGATAAAAGGCCGACTTGGCAGTGGCTGCTACCTGGGCCTCCATTGTTAAAGAGGAGTCCAGGAGCACTCACAAACTCCTAACCTCTGACGCTGGCACCAAAGGCGCCCCATCGAAGGTCGGGAGAGGGAGTCCCAATCCTGAACTGCCCCGACCTAGGCCCAGGACCTCCGTCTTCGCTGGGTTTAGTTTCAGCTGAATCAGTCTGAGCCAACCAGCCACAGCTTGCAATGCCCATTGAAGGTCATCTGGGTCGGAGTTCGACCGGCTGCCCAGCATCAGCTAGAGCTGGGTGTCATCCGCATATTGATGACACCCAGCTCTATCTCATACCTCCGGGCAATCTGGGCAAGGGGGCGCATGTAGATGTTAAACAACACTGGGGACAGCACTGCCCCCTAAAGCACCCAACAATCAAGAGGGTGCCTCCGGAACCACTGATCCCCTATCGCCATCCTTTGTCCCCGACCTTGGAGAAATGAGGCAAACCATTGAAGGGCCAGCCCCTGAATCCCCGCATCAGCGAGGCGGTACGCCAGCAACTGGTGGTCGACCGTATCAAATGCGGCCGACAGATC